TCCCAAAATTCCCCAAAATTTTCCCAAAATCCCCCAAAACTTTCCCAAAATCCCCCAAAACTTTCCCAAAATCCCCCAAAACTTTCCCAAAATTCCCCAAAATTTCCCCCAAATCCCCCAAATTTTTCCCAAAATTCCCCCAAATTTCCCCCAAATCCCCCAAATTTTCCCAAAATTCCCCCAAATTTTCCCAAAATTCCCCCAAATTTCCCCCCCAATTTCCCCCCCAATCCCCCCCGCTCCCACCTTGCCGGTGGCGTGGTTGAGCAGCTCCTGCCAGGCGGGATCGAGGCGGTTCCGGGGCGCCCGGACGCCCTGCTCCGCCACGGCCACCATGTGCCGGGCGGCTCCGTGCAGCCCCACGGCGCGCTCGTAGCGGAGCGCCGCCCGCTGCGCCTCCTGCTGCGCCTGCGGGAACACCCGGAATGCCGCTGGGAACGCCGCCAGGAACGCCGCGAAGGCCGCCGGGAATAATGCCGGGAATACCGCGGGGAATACTGCCGGGAATGCCGCAGGGAATGCCGCAAATACCGCCGGGAATACCACCAGGAATGCCACGGAGAACGCCGCTGGGAATGTCGGGAATGCCGCTGGGAATAATGTCGGGAATACCGTGGGGAATACTGCTGGGAATGCCACCGGGAATGCCAGGAATACTGCTGGGAATACCACCAGGAACGCCACGGGGAACGCTGGGAACGCCGCTGGGAATGGTGGGAATGTCGCTGGGAATAATGTCAGGAATATCATGGGGAATACTGCTGGGAACGCCGCTGGGAATGCCGCCGGGAATAATGCCAGGAATACTGCGGTGAATGCCACGGGGAATGTTGGGAACGCCATTGGGAATAATGTCAGCAATACCATGGGGAATGCCGCCGGAAACGTCGCGGGGAATGCTGGGAACACCACTGGGAATGTCGTGAATAACGCCGGGAATGCCACTGGGAACACCCCGGGGAACGCCGCCAGGAATGCTGGGAACGCTGCCAGGAACATCACGGGGAACACCGCAGGGAATGCTGGGAATAGCGCCGGGAATGCTGCCGGGAATGCTGGGAACGCTGCCGGGAACACCACGGGGAATATCACCGGGAATACTGGGAATACAGCCAGGAATGCCACCGCGAATGCCACTGGGAACGCTGCTGAGAATGCTGCCGAGAATACCGGGAATACCGCCAGGAATACCGGGAATACTGCCGGGAAAACAGCTGGGAATGCTGCAAGGAACACCACCACGAATACCGGGAAAACCGCCAGGAATACCGGGAAAACTGCTGGGAACAGTGCTGGGAATACCGCCAGGACTACCACCAGGAAATTGGGCGGGAATGCCAGGAAAACCGCCAGGAAAAGTGCTGGGAACACCGGGAAAACCACCAGGAAAACCGCCGGGAATGCCGGGAAAACCACCGGGAATGCCGGGAAAACCAGGAATGCCGCCGGGAAGGAATACCTCCTTGGCGAGGCGCCGCGCCTCGTAGTAGGGCCGGGATTTCTCCACGGAATTGCCCAGGAGCGAGGCCTGGGCGTCCAGCTGGCGGGCCGAGTCCGAGAGCACCCGGCGGTAGGTGGCGCGCGCTTCCTGCGGGAAGAGGCGGCGGGAAGGCCGGAACGGCGCCGGGAAGAGCGGGGAAGGGCGGCGGGAATAGGGGGGAATAAGCGGGAAAGGGTCTGGGAATAAGTGGGAAAAGTGCCGGGGAGAAGCAGGAAGGGCGCCGGGAATGAGGGGGGAATGGCACTGGGAAGAAGGGGGAATTAAGTGGGAAAAGGCTGGGAATAAGCGGGAAAAGTACCAGGAATAAAAAAGAGGGGTGCTGAGAATAAGGGGGAATAAGGGGGAAGGGTGCCGGGAATAGGAAGGAATAAGTGGGAAAGGTTCTAGGAATAAGTGGGGAAGGAGCCGGGGAGAAGCAGGAAGGGTGCTGGGAATGAGGGGGGAATGGCACTGGGAATAAGGGGAATTAAGTGGGAAAGGCTCTGGGAATAAATGGGAATAAGTGGGAGCGGTGCCAGGAATAAGCGGGAAAAGGCAGTGGGAAAAAGCAGGAAGGATGTCAAGGGCTGGGGATACGGGGAAACGGGAATGGGAATATCTGGCCAGGAACAGGAATATCCAGCTGGGAATGGGAACAGGAATGGGAATATTCAACCGGGAATGGGAACAGGAATGGGAATATGCGGCCAGGAACGGGAATGGGCATATCTGGCCGGGAATGGGATCGGGAATGGGAAAATCCAACCAGTAATGGGAATGGGCACAGGAATATCTGGCTGGGAATAGGAACTGGAATGGGAACGGGAATATCCAACCAGCAATGAGAATGGGAACAGGAATATCCGGCCGGGAATGGGAATAGGAATATGCGGCCAGGAATGGGAATGGGAACAGGAATGAGACTATCCGGCGGGGAATGGGAACCGGAATGGGAACAGGAATGGGAATATCGGGCCGGGAACGGCAACAGGAATGGGAATATCCATCCGGGAATGGGAATATCCATCCGGGAACGGGAACCGGAATGGGAATATCCRGWYAGGAATGGAAATATCAGGCCGGAAATGGGAATATCCAGCCCGGAACGGGAAGGAGAATGGGAATACCGGGCTGGGAATGGGCACAGGAATGGGAATATCCATCCGGGAACGGGAATATCCATCCGGGAACGGGAACCGGAATGGGAATATCTGGTTAGGAATGGAAATATCAGGCCGGAAATGGGAATATCCAGCCCGGAATGGGAAGGAAAATGGGAATACCGGGCCGGGAATGGGCACAGGAATGGGAATATCCGTCCGGGAACGGGAACGGGAATGGGGCCGGGCACGCCGGGCGCTCGGCTCACGTCCAGCTCCAGCTCCACGCGGTTGATCTCCTCGCCGGCCTCGTTGAGCCGCTCCAGCTCCTCCTGCCAACGGCGGCCACGCGGCAGCGAGCGCTTCCCGGCGGGAATTCCCACCGGGATCCGCCCCCCGCCCCGCCGTGGTGGGGGCGGCACCCACCTGGATGCGCGGATCCAGCTCCTCCTCCTCCTCCTCCTCCTCGTCCTCCTCCTCCTCGGGGCCTTCGTCGCTTCCCGGGGCGGCCTCGGGCTCCGCGCGGCCGCCGGCGGCTCCGGCCTCATTCCCGGTTTCCTCCCGGAGCCACCCGGGCTCCGCGTCGCCCATGGCGGAATTCCGGATGTGGAGCAGGGGGGGGGACACGGAC